CGAGCCATGGTCGTATGATTACACACCATCAGATTCTGACTGAAAATCTGAAAAAAATGGCTTTCTCAGGAAGAAAGTACTGAAATCAAGATTCCGTCAGAAATGATCTCAAGATTGTCGACTTGTGAAATCAGACGAAGCGTAGCAAACAAATATCATATACAATTGGTCTGATAAAAACCAATTTGAAGATTAAATGTTTGTCGCTGGTAGAGCAAATTCATGCGACAAAAACAGAATAACCATTTAATATTTTATTTTCTAAAAGCAACGTTCGTTTAGATCAAGATCAGCTTTCATCAAAATTTCTTACATTAAGCGCTGATGTTCACATAAATCACATTGATACTAGCGCTCAATGAAAGAAATTGTAATGAACGGTTATCTTAATCATTCGTTTATATACAGTTGCTCAGGCGAAACCAAAGGAACAATTGAATACTATCTATGCGAAATATTCATTGATATCCAAAAGAAAAAAATCTCTGTACGATTGTAACAAAACTGTGTATAAACTCCAAACTAGACTGGCGTCAAATTCTGTACGTCTTTCAATCGGTTGAAGGACAATATATTATTGCTTTGAAATTTCTAAAAAACAATGTTTTACCTATGTAGTGCGTTTTACTTGATCAGCGATTGATCTATAAATACTTACCTAAAACGGCACATGCTCAACAAATAAATAGATTTCCCACCCAAGTGTATTTAGGTTTTATAAGACTTTTATTGCAAAAACTCCAAAAATAAACGGTTCTATAGATAGATATAAATCATTAAACGATTTATACTAGCAAACAACCAACAAACATGAGGCTTGTTTGACAGAAATATCAGATGGTAGTATAGAACGTGTATGTGATTGGCATGCAGTTAATAAAAGTAATAGAATGATGATAAAAATCAATAAATTAGCAACTAATAATTAATCTAGACATACTGTATTAAAGAAAAACAAAAGCCGATCACATCTGATATTTTTTTTCAATCATTTTTGTCATTTTTCTTCGTGCGTACCTTGTTGTTGTTGTGTTTTTCCTGTTTCAGCTGGAATAAATCTTTCATCTTCGTTATGGAATGTGACGCCAGTAGTGGCTTGATGATGTTGATTGTTACTATTATTATTTTTATTATTACTAGTTGCTACATCTTTAGGTGGTGAAGATTGTTTTTGTTGTCGTTGAGTGTTTGAAGCTGACAGCGGACGCTCGTGTGTTTGTGGTGTTCTAGCAATATTTTTATCTATTTGCTCTTGAATTTTACTGAATGAATCGCGTCCACCATAATCTATGTGACCTGCTTCCCACGCACGTCGATGAGCAGCAGAACCGGATATAATACCTTGAGTAAACCCAGTATAATTCAATGGACCAGAATGCTAGAAATAGATATATATGAATCATTTATTAGTATGGGTAAACATTTCACAACAATATAACTTGCAGAGCGATTGAATGCTGGCATGAGAAAATAATAAGTAGTTTCTCTACAGTTTAGTTACTGAGTATTCGTAATAGCTGTTCAACTCTTCAGCAAAAGTTTGGCATTTTGGTGCAAAGATAAAATAAGAAGCTAAATACTAATAGTTTACTACATATTTTTCTAGAGCATAGAAAGTAGCTAATTATTAACTTCTACTCATCTTTTATATATGTAGAGAGATTTCTGAAAAACTTAAGGATGTTTTAGCCTACACAAACTTAACAAAGTCAAATTCGTACCCCGTTAACCTCTAGACAGACACATGTTAACTCTAATTTAAAACGAACCGGAGCTCTCCTACACTTATGGAGAAAGTTTTGGGGAAATACTAACAGTGCTGTATTCATCAGTGTTGGGACGATATCTCAAGAACAATAATGCTGCGTGTACTAAATCTGACTGATAGTACCAAGATAGTTTTCATATTACCAAATCGAAAAATTTTAAAAGTTTCTTCAGTCAAAACCGATTGCAGATTCCTCTTCTCCATAGTCGATTACCTTGTACGCGATAACTTTTGGATCGGGTTACTTCAGAAAAAAATTTCGACATCTTTTTGCCTCTGGTCTGATGCAGTGACCTTTTCAAAAGTTTTTGAATAAGATCATGAGCAAATTTTTTTCTGAAGTACTCCAATCCAAAAGTTATCACGTATAAGATAATTGACTATGGAGAAGAGGAATCTGCAATCGATTTTGATCGAAGAAGCTTTTAAAATTTTTCGATTTGGTGATATGCCAGAGTAGCTTTAACAGAATGAGAGTAGAAAACTAACAAATAAGGCGATATCTCTTTTCGCGCATGTTGCTCATTTTCTTTCTTTTTTTCGTTTTCTTCTTCTAACTGAGTTATATATAGCTGCCTTGTTCTGCTCAAGTGAGATGGGGGCAATGTCCACACACGATATATCTTGTGCGAAAAGATATGTAATTTGTTAAGTTCCTAATAAACTTTTTTTATTAGTAGTTTATTTTTTTCCCATTGCTTATAAGACATAATCTCTTGTAAAAACAGCAAAACAGGACTTCACGATAAAGCATAATCAAATAGACTCACTGCAAAACTGCTTTAACTCCACAAATCTTCAACACTATTAGTGTCTAACGAAAAATATATCCTAACATCTCACAAACTGGTTAACAGAAGCTTTTCTTAATCTGAGTGTCATATGATGCTATTAGCTTAACTTTGAGGCGCAACAATGACTTAAACATGTAAAAAGGATGTCGTTTTTGTGATCCATATGGTTTATCTAATGTGAATTATCACACAAGTTTATGAAATATACGTTTCGTAGTCCACACCCACAAAGTAGGGAACATAGCTTTCTTTACGACGCTGCAGTTAGGAATTTACTTCATTTAGAAGCCCCTGCACACTGCATTTTACCGCTGAGCATATACTGCCGCAAAGCAATATACACCCAACAGTAATAGCATCGAGATTCGAACATGAGACGTTTGATTACAATATTTGCACTTTACCTTTTGAGCTGGTAAAGACGACATACACTTAAATATAGCTAATAAACATTCATGCATACATATTACAGAGTTTTCACTACACTTCAATAAATCATAATCTACTAGTTTTTATACTGGCTTTTTTCTCCGTAGTAAGTGGCTTAAAATTTCCTTCTTGAATCTTGTCATATATTCTATCTTTGTAAATGGAATATCTTAGTCTCAAATGCGAAAAAGTATACTTCAGCAATGTTAACATTTGTAACTCTATAAATTATAAATAAAAATTTGTTTGCGCTAACAACTTTATGATAGTTTTCGAAGAAAGAATGAACAAAGAGTGCAAAACTTCTTAAAATAAAGAGCAAATTGTGTCGCTTAAATTCCGTCCTACTTAAATACCCTCCATTTCACATTTCTTTCTGTAAAATTTTCTAATAGTGTAGCTGAATGAGATCGTTTTTTTCTTGATTTTGGTATTATTTCAGCAGCACTATTTTTCACAATTACGCCATTCTCATCGTTCTTTTCATTCGCATCATCCAACTGAAATTCTGACTCATTTGCTACAGCAAATATCGTTTCAGCATCGATTAAAAGTTTTGGATGGTGTCTACGATGAATAACTGTTTCATCTGACTTTATTCGCTTCATGTAAAACATCTCCGCTAGTGGTAATAAACTGAACGATGTTGTCGAGGGTTTAGCTCTTTTGAGAGTAGCTAACCGTATTTTATTTAACATTGTTTGATACTTAAATTGAGCATCAACTAAATGAGGAAATGAGTCACGATCCGAATAAAAATCGTACGGATGATAAAGGTCTTTTCTCGCATCTAAACCAGCAGTATACGATACAAGTTTCAAGCCTATATTATATAAACACGACATTGTATCATGAGGTCCCTACAAAATAATTCACACACAGACACATTTTCACTTTACTTGAATCTAGCTCAAGAACAAATATTTTTAAAGAGTTATAGAACGTGCACGATAATCATTAGTGATTATTTTTCACAAAAAAGAAAACTAGCGTTAAACATTTAAACATATGTTTACCTGATGATTTTCTTGACCAGGTAAGCTAGACGGCTAAATAAAGTAAGCAATAGACATGCATAATCACCGCATATTGTGCTTTTTGTTTTGTACCCAAACAGGCAATACATACAGTATTTGAGGCTGATAAATTTGGCCATACAGTTTCATACATCAGTTCCCACCATTTAAGTAGAAATTCACGTTCAAATGATTGATAACAGCCAGATAATTGCTTAGCTTGAGGATCATAAGTCAATTGCCATGGTTTGACTGTACCAGCAAAATGAACAATACGGATATCAGAACGAAATCTAAGAGCAAAAATTATATGAAAATCAAAACATGGATAAAAAAAATATTCTCGATTTTAAAAATGAAATACCTCCCAAGGAACTTGGGAACTTTGCAACTATCAATTCCATTGTTATAAAAGGCCTTGTTACAAAAGTACGAGAAACGATTATGCATACATTTGAATCACCATTTTAAAATTCGTGACTTGATTTGATTAAAAATATTTTTATGATTTAGGGGCAATAAATTGAGAATTGTACATATTAATACAGCAGCTAATTTAAAGTGCATTTTATTAAGAATTTATATTTAGTTCGACGTTTCGACAATACACTTGTCATTATCAAGAATATATGTAGTAACAGAGCTATTACAGCAAGAGTAGAGTCCATTCTGTCGCTGTTAGCACACATATTCTTGATAATGACAAGTGCATTGTCAAAACGTCGAACTAAATATAAATTCTTAATAAAATACGATTTAAATTACCTGCTGTATTAATATGTACAATTCTTGATTAGAAATGTTTAGTTGAGAGTCGACTTGAGTAAAGAAAATACGAAAAGAGTTATACTCACTGATTAACGGCAGGCACATAAGAATAAAATGTATTGGATGTAACATTATAAGTAAACGGTAAATGTCGACTAATATCAGCTCGAGCCCAAGATGAAAAGTATTTATTTAATAAACCTTGATCACCACCTAAAACACAGTACAAAATACGTTAACAATATACTTTTCAACCTTAAAAATCAATAATAATTCATAATACATACCATCAAATGATCCTTGTTCTGATGCAAACTTTACTAATTTTTCATATGTATCTTTTGATGGTTTATAGACGAATACACCTGAATTAAAAATATCTGGCCATCCGGCGTCGGGTGAAGCCGATAATTCTTCACGTTCAAAGAGATCATCTACAGATTGTAATACCTGAAAGAGAAAACTACGTTAAGATTCAACAGAAGATTATGCAGATACAATGCTTACTAGACAATCAGCATCTAGGAAAACACATTTCTGATATTGTTCAAGTATCCAACAATGAAGTTTTGTAAATGTAACACCCAATTCTGGTCGTTCCAATAATTTTAAATGCGCAGTATCTTTACTATCTAACACATTGACAACAATCACTTCATCAAACGTTGCTTCTAAGTTACGTCTAAAATAGTTTGAAAGAGACCGATTATGAGCACGAATCATTTGATCATAAAAAACAAAAACATAGGAGATAAGGGAAGTCATAAAAAGTCTCTAGTGAAATACTCATTTAAAATCAATATATCTTACTTTAATAGATCTGACACATGATCCGTAATCATAACGCATAATTTTCTTTCGGTTTTAACTGCTTTTAATGATTGCCCTAATACGAGTGCACCCAAAGCATATCCATCCGTCGTTGCTAATGTCACAAATGCTTCAGACATTTTTTGATGTTAAATAATTAACTAACTAAAAAAATAAATAAGCTAGCTATACCTTCAAATTCGTAAATAAAAAGATTTTCAAACAAAAGTACAAGATTAAAGCAAGTCTCTCATTCTTATCCACGTATCAACTAATTTTATTAAAAAACACAATCACACTCTTTAGAGCTTTTAGTATTTTAAACTTGTGGCAATTTCTTAACATTGTACTCGTGTATACACATTCTGTCAGAAGTTATATTTTACACGCATGTACAATTGATATTAAAATCATCATGTTAACGTGTTAAAATTTTTATAAATGTAAATAGATGTCATCTAGGTCATTTTTCTTCTTCTAATGCTTTCTTTTACTTAACATATTTTTTTTTCCTTCTTTCTTTTTCATTGTAATTGACTTTGTATAAAATCAATTACAAAAAAAATACTCACACACATACCACATTCTTTTTCAGTCAAAGAAACAGAGAGGTATTTTAGTTTTATTATTAAGAAAAAATTATGGTACGGTTAAAGAAAGAAAACGACATATTATCAATCAATTGATTATGAACTTGAGTAACCCGATGTCGACGAATGTTAGATTTATTACCCTACTCGCATGGAAAAATAATTTGACGAAGAAAAGCGCAACAATACACGATGACTGAACTTAGCAGGATAATCTACGCAAACTTTATTTTTTCCTCTTCTTTAACATCTTTATGAAGAAATATATTTTTTAATGATCCATCCCATGAAGAAAAAATGCCATTATTACGTACTTTCATTAGCAATAAAATTACCTCATTACAAAAATAATGAAATTGAGTGCATTAGTTTTCACGTTTGGAAGAAAAAAAAATAGTCACGTTGTTACCACACACGGACTACAACCTTGTGCATGTGTATAAATACAAGAAAAGAGTAAAAGCGTAAAAAAGCTCGCTCTTTTATATAGTTGGTCTATTTTTATAAAGAAGAAAGAAAAATGAAGTTGATTTTTGGACTGATGTTTTCTATATGCTAAAAAAAGAGAAAACATTGGCGTTGCACATGACATGCACATTTCTATTAAAGCTTTAGCGCATAGCGCTTTATTTTCTTCTTTTTGATGTCGCATACAGAAATCTGTATGTCCGGGCATATTATGCGCATCTTATCGTATGTGACATAAATAAGACACATTCGCTATATGCTAAAGGCTCTATTATTTCTTTTAACATCAATACAATGAATATCATATGTTTAACGCATGAAAAATACACAATAATTTTGGACATTCATTCTTTGTCAAAAAATCATCATTTTTTTACTTTTTTTCCTATTCGCACTATCTATTCGTTTTTTCCTCGTAAGGACGCTCTAAAATACAGCCAGTAGCAATATATACTATGCTATAACGGGTGACCCATAAAGAATGTCCCTCGCAGTAGTTTGCTTATAACTTGGTTTGGGTTTGTTTCTAAAAATGCTCTGCGAAATTCCCTACAAAATCATACCTAAACTATAATTTCAGAACTTCAGTCAAGAAAAAACTAAGCCAATTAGATGAAAAGTCGAAAAAAATGTAAACTTCCTAAACTCAAAAATGACGTTGTGTATGAACGTTTTGAAAGTAAGAAAACCTGAATTAGTCATTTTGTAGCCCTGATTTCGCTCTATCTTTCAAATTTTTGCACATCAAAAGCCACAGCGAAGTAATAGTTTTTCTATCAGTTGTCATGCATTTTTTCATTAATTTGCTAAATTTTGGGTATAGTAGTGCTTTCAGTAAAAGCTCCATTAGATCATAAATCTAGTAGAATAAAAGCTTTTCCGGTCGGGATTGCTTTTTTTTATCAGAAATGATTGCTCTTCTCTATCTAAGTGCAAAACCAAACTTCAATCATCTTTTACGTTTCTTGATTGAGCACATTGTTGGAAATGGGAAGGTTGTCAACTTTTGATGTATTTTTGTAACTTCGCTCTCGAACACACCATTTGCTATAAAAAAGCTTTTTTACAGACCACGAGAAAGAGCACATTTGAAAGTACCAAACTTAAACTGAGTTCTCACGTTTGCTACATTTTTTAGCGGAAATAGTAGCAGAAGAAAAAGTCCAAGTCGAAAAAAATTGAGTTTAGAAAGTTTACATTTTTTTCGACTTTTCATCTAATTGGCTTAGTTTTTTCTTGACTGAAGTTCTGAAATTATAGTTTAGGTATGATTTTGTAGGGAATTTCGCAGAGCATTTTTTAGAAACAAACCCAAACCAAGTTATAAGCAGACTACTGCGAGGAACATTCTTTATGGGTCGCCCGTTACATGTCAAAAACCATCCCGATCGATAGATTACTTTGTGTGCCCACTGGTATTAACATCTCGCCAATTTATCCGCGACCGGAGATGTGCGCCGCCGGACATTTTTTACACTCCGCCATGCCCGAAAATTTTTTTAATTTCACGCTACAGCCGCTGACATGTTTTGAATATAGGTGTAATCTTGTTCTTCGGTTTTTTTTCGGAGCGACAATCAAGCAATGAATATTATGTATTTCATATTGAAACGTAAACAGAATACGTTGTTTCTTTGCACCACAGAGTGTACCTTTTTCTTTGGTTTTACAAAAACCGTATGATGCAGGGTTTTCTTACTCTTACAAGTTCCTACCTGAGGCATCTAGCGTGCAGCTAGTGATGGGCCCTAAGAGATTCGAATATAGGGAAACAAGAGAGGTTGTATAACGAAACGAAAGAAAGAAAACGGAAAACGTACGAACGGTTACGCACCGTTTTTTCCTTCCTTAGACAAGCGTTGGCGATAATATCAGTGATAATGTTTTCTATCATAGAATGGCAAGTTCAAACTATCAACTACCAAATCCGAAAAAAAAGACCTGGATAGTTTAGAGCAGCAAACGTGAAAATTCTCCTCAAAATGCGATCTTTGTGCTTAAAATGACGTAAGTTTGTTTAAAAATGGTCAAATTTAAAACCTATTAAAACTGATTCTATCTCAATTAGCGAAACTATACAACTTCTGATTGCTATTTACATTGTGGATTGAGCATGGAAAACGCAATTTTGCTTTATCATTAAAAATGTTGAAAAGGTATGCAAAAAAATGCATTTTTTATTAGACTCAGTGATCGAAGAAAATTTACCGTCATTTTTTTCTAACAAGAAGAGAAAATTAATCCATTTTGAAACAAAAATTTTGTGTCAGATGCTGACTTTTTTTTGTTTCATAATGCACGTGACTATTCTTTGTTATTAATTCGTGTGAACAGCACAGCACGCCAATCATTTGTCAAAACTATGTATGTGAATAAGTGACAAAATTAGTCCTATATCAGGTGCACATCAGAGTTCGATATACCTCAAATTAAAATAAAAACAAAGAGAAATTACTTTTTATTCAAACATAAAAAACACCTTTTATTATCGATTATGCGAAAAAAAGGGAGAATAAGATGATCAGCAAGATCGTTTTTCGAAGCCTATCCAATGTGTGACAGACTAATTCACTAACATCATTATCATACACAAAAAAACAACTGTATATCATATTATTAGAGTTCGCCTCTTGAACATGAATTCAACTTAAGTACAGACCATGTCGATTAAGAAAGTGGAAAACAATCATAAAAAAGTTGAGATTTCTCTACGAGAAAGTTCATTGCGCTCAAATAAAAAGGTTTCTCTTTTCTCGCTTCCCTCCTCATACACTTACCACGAGAACTGAGCAGTTTTTCAGTATGTATGTATACAAATAAAAACAATAAATAGCGATTTATTGATCGTTGCGTTCTTCAAGACTGATAATTACAAATAAATAGAAAAACAATCACTATGGATAACTGATAGAAGATCTCAGGCAAAAAATAAATTTGAAAAATAAGTACGGTGAGGAAATAAACAAACAAATAAATAAATAACTGTTCGTCAGAAGGAGAAGAAAAAAAAGATTTTTGTTCAAAAAAGCAGAGCCTTACCATCATTGACAGGTGCCATTATGCCACCAGACAGATGATTTTGGCGGCAAAAAGCATAGGTTGAGTTGAACTGAAACACTTCTTCTGAATCTTAGTCCCTTTAATATTCCTTTGCATATTCACTCAAGAAGTATATGAGACGTATCCGTGAATTTTGTAAAGGCCGAATATTTGAATTTGATTTGCCGATGTATTAAACCATTTGGAAACAAGGAGAAAAAGAAAAAAATGAAAATAATGTAAAGTTCATTGAAATTTATTCAGTAAGAGACCTTGAATTGTACAAGAGAAGAATGACCTTGAGTGGTCTATCTCGTGTATTCTTTCTGCAAAAGTATTAACCTTCGCAGATCTTTCCTGTTTCAAACATTTATGAAACATTTTGTTTTTCGGATTTATTTTCAAATCAACATAAGTATGTTTTTTTCTTTTCAGGGATTTGGTGCACCGAAATGTCACAGATACAAGTGTTTGAATGTGTGCGCATTTCTCCAACTTTATTTTGTGACATGCAAACACTACTGTATATAAAATTAAAGAATAGCTCATTCTCTCCCTTGACAATGGATGATTTAGAAGAGATTGATCCTATCTAAGCGTCTTCGTCTTATGTACTGCTTTCAATCATGGTAGTGAACTAAAAAACTATTTTCTATCTTATTCTGAGAGTACTCGTTAGGATTTCCGCATTTTTTTAACCAGCAAAACTGCCTAAAGTAAAAACTCATCTCCCAAAAAATATTATCAACGTAAAAAATTTTATTATCCTCTTTTCAGATCTTTCTAGAAGACAACTCTGATGTTACTGATTTGCCCAGTAGTAATCATATCTGTTATTCGTCTTGACTGACTAAGGAAATCTTGAATATATTATTTAATTTCTCAAAACGTCAATAGAACGTCGTTTTGTTATGCTGTCTATGAGTCTCGAATAGTTTTCATATGAAGCTAGGAGATTTGTGGGTTTTTCATTGAGATTGATCACATTTTTTTTGTATTAATGAAAAAATAGTCAATTTTATTTTTACTAATTACGTTATTTACTTACAGTAAATATAGTGAAACAGTTTATGAATTACTTTTGTATTTAATGCTTTTTGTTACAAATTTAGTGTTAGAAATAGTTGATAACAAATTTCTTTAGATATAAATTGTCTTTCGATTATTTCATTTTAGATGATTAATGATGATTAATTCGATGGTGACTTCTCCAACGCAATCACCCCGTTATTATTTTGGTCCAAGTCGTTTATTAACTCGTCATATTCAATTAGTGACAAAGGATGATACACTCGATTTTACAATAACTGGAGGAAATGGTATACAACCAATTCATGTGGCTAGCGTTGTTTGGGCATCACAAGCGTATACACAAGGAATGAGACCGGGTGATGAAATTATCAGTGTTAATCAAATACCATTTAAAAATATCACCTATTCACAGGCCGTTGGAGTATGTATTAACGTAGTTAACTTTTGAAAGCTGAACTCAGCACGTCAGTGAACATAGGAAATGACTGAGATCATTTTTCTGCTTAACATGATCATGAGATGAAAAGCCTTTTTACATAGTTTATTTAGAAAAATTTTACAGTACGAAAACATTATTTTTCCATTTTAAATTAAAAGATCATGTTAGGCATGTAAAACAGAGTATATTTCCTTGAATTACGGAGTCAATCGAATCAATTTTTAAGTGAGTTGAACAAATGTAAAGGCCGTATAAAAACGTATGTTTACCTACAGTCTACAGCGGTGGGTATCTAGTTTTACTTCTTAGTAAGCTACGACGATCATTTTTTTTCCTGATAGACAGCAGTTATTTTTCAACTTATTCTTTACGTATTTAGATATTGTATTCAACACCTCGTTTGGATATAATTATTCGTACATTACGTGTTTATCCGTTAGATGCAACACTTTATGATTGGTATAATCCGAGATTAAAACGTGCCACATCGCCTCCGCCAGGAAATTATTTAGCACAAAATGCACAGTTACCTTATTTTGAAAAAACCGTACGTATATATCAGCAGTGTGAGATTTTGCTTTAACATATGTCCGATAACATTATACGTGGATCCCCTCGTCTCACTGTGCCATAATAAAAAATCTTAAGATATGCAGTACTTCGTAAAAGTAAAGTTGCCTCTGAATTTCAAGAATCATGACAGTTAACCACTTCAAACTTTATGTGACCATAGGCCTACTAATATGCTGATCATTCTACCGGTATAGATCTCTTTTACTGGATGTCTCATAAGATATAACGATTTCCTTTCTCTTTAGTGAAATACTAATATCTCGTAATCCAAGACAGATGAAGACCTTTTCTTTTCATCAAAACGTAGCATGACTTTCTATCTACTCGAAATAATCTGCAAAACTACACTGATCATCTTCAAGATTTGCGTATTGCATGTCACGTTAAATGAGTAATGAGTTTCTGTACAATGGTTAGACATCTTACTTTGAAGAAATAACTTGTTTCTAATTAAAAACTTTTTTTTATAATAATTCTATAGATGGAGAACCATGGCTAAAAACTTCAGTAAAAAGAAAAAGTCTTTATATGTCTGCCTTTGATTACCATGTATTAGTATTTCACTAAAGAAAAAGGAAATCGTTATATCTCATGAGCATCCAGTAAAAGAGATCTATACTGATGGCGTGATCAGCATATGAGTAGGCCTATGTTCACACAAAATTTGAAGACACTGAGAGATGTCTCCTTGAAGTAGAAGTTCATATCACCCTTGCGCAATAAAAAAATTAGCAGACCAAAAACTCTATATTTTTTCTGTTAATTGTTCTTTCCTCTCTGCTTAGGAGAAGAGATACATCACCGATGCAGAAATGATCGTACTTTTGTAGAGTACTGTATTTTCAATTTTGTATTTCTGTTCTAGGTGAACTTACATGTTCGATCGGGTCGGCGTTTAGGTTTAATAATTCGTGGTGGAGCCGAATATGGTCTTGGCGTATTTGTTAGTGGAATTGATAAAGATTCATTATCCGAACAAGCTGGACTAAGGGTATATGTTACGTATACTACTATTTATGCTAAAGACGGCTCTAAAATTATTTTGTGCGGATGGATAACGAAATTTCACTTGGAAACTATAGAGCAAAGAAAAAGTGTCCGGTAAATGCATTCGGGAAAAATGGGCGAGGAGTGGAATTAGTGGAGTGGAATTGCAGTCATCAAGCATTTTCTCCCACCACCACTAATCTCTTATCACATTCAATTAGCCCTACAAAATTGCTTTTAGATTGGTGATCAAATACTGGAAGTAAATGGAATCGACTTTCGTCGTATAACGCATAGCGATGCTGTCCAGATCTTGCGTACACATAATCAAATGCAATTTCACATTCGACAATTGGACAAACTGCCACAACCGAAACAGCAGCAACAAATATCAACACAGCCAAGGTAATAGAATTAAAAGAGCATCCACTAGAAAAACGGAGAATTTTAAAAGTTTTCGTTTATATTTCAAAACTAAATTTATTAATTTTTATTTTAGTCGTGTATCATCGCCTATTCTTTCACAAAAATATTCGACAACTCCTTCCACATCTGATACTTCCACTCAACCGAGACGTGTTCTTCCACAACGTCCGCATAGTCGTCGTTCATCATCCTATGAATCGGTTATTTTAGCCGATATCAATCGTCATGTAACCAAAGATGGCTATTCTCAAGAAGACGCAAGATTGATTAATTACTATCTTACGTCATATATACAACGAAAAATAACCATTGATGATATGGCACAACCTTTACTAGATGTGATCAAATACAATCAACGTAAAGTATGTTAAGTCTTTGTTTTGGCGTAATAAATGAGCCTGCTGAGTAACTCAGTTACTCAGAAGCTGGAGAAAATCACTTACTCAGCGCGTAAATAGCAGTTTCCCTACTTAAATTTCTTAAAAACTTTGAGTAAGTCAAAATTTTTTGAGTAACTGTATTCAAACGAGGAGTGGTATGCCACCTCCTATCACCCCCTAATCGATAATGCTGATTGTTGATTCTGCGGGTCAGCTTTTTTGTAACCCAAATTAATGTCAAAAAATAACGTGATTCATCATTTGATTATCGTGTTGATCTTTTGATTAGATTTCTCAGTTCTACAGCCAACCCTCTTCCCTTAAGTTCAATGCATTATTCTTAGTTCCGTTTACACGTATAGAGTGTGACTTGTGTATCTTTATTGAACATTAAAACTTTTATGTCTCGCTACAAATCACCTGCTCTACTAAGACGAATCAGTTAGAGGCCTCGTCACGCACGAAACATTCGATGTAGTTCAAGTGTCAATCAGTTTTGATTCCAAAAAGTCGTAAAACAGCTACAATAAGCTAGCTTTTCGATAGGCATTTTTATCTTAAACTAAAGATGATGTTTTAGAAACGTAAACGAGAAAAAAATTTACGAAAAAACAATAAAAGAAATCGTAGTTCTATACTATCTCACTCATTGTAGATCTTATTCTCACTGTCAGTTTATGTTTACACATAAACTGCACAAAATTTCCATGGGAAAATAATATTAGCTTCAAATTTTTCTTAAACTTTCGACGGTACCCCCTCGTCAAAAATAGAAAATCTGCTGGATTATTGAATGTGCTGAATATGAAAAAGGACTTTTCTGCGGTTCCAAATGAACTTTATTTTTCTGTCGGTGATATGATTTCATCTTTCAAAGTTTCACCTACGTAAATAATATGTTCTGCTCAAGTGTTCCACCTTGAGACAGTGTATTTTAAACAAACGTGTGGAAATTAAAGTACTTAAACTTAATAAAAGTACTTAAGTACTACTCTAATACTTGAACCTGGCTGCACTACAGCTGACTAATTTAGTGCAGTTCCGAGGAAAGGTGCGCGTACAAATCATGGTATGATCGCACAAGAATTTCTAGAAAATTTTAGAATCTATTTGAGATACTTAACTCATCGTACCAGTTATTATATACCCTTATGTATATCACATTATACTAAGTCAATCAGAAATACGACATTATTAGAGCTAACACTTTCCTTGACGCTATGATATTGTTACAGTATGTTGTTCTAATGATCTATCTTGAACAATAGATATTAATACTTTATTTCTTTATTTTAGAATTATTTGTTGGAATTAATTCGTGAGTTAATTCGTCATGAAGACGTTGACCGTTTTGATATTCATACATTACGAGAAGATTTAAATAGTTTAAAGGTTTGTAAAATTTTAATGATGATTTTCACTGAACTTAAAAACGCTTCCTTTAATTCTAATCTTTAGTAATTACCTTAAAATAAATTCATACTGTAAGTATCGTTTCTTCTCTGCGTGCAGTGATGGGCTAAAGTGTGATGACGGCTCATGTCTTGTGTTTGTGTTTGTTTTTTTGTATAAAACAACGATAATCAGAGCTAGCTATTACTACTACCACTAATTGTTTATCACTGCTTTGTTTTTTTGCATTATCGTTGCATTATGTTAACAAAGAGATACCGACAGAGTTCAGCGTATATGCATTCATTGTGTTCGTTTTGCTGAAATTTCTTTTTCTGCAGTGTCATAGTAGTACAGTGTAATGCGATGTGAAACAAAGGCAAATATCGATCATTGTTATAACATGATAGTGAATCTTTTTTCATTATTTCTTATACTCGTTCTCTTTCATTGAAAAGTAAAGATTAACTGTTTAGCATATGTTTGTTGTATTTGTTAGAAATAATGTAATATATCGTCTCATCTTCTCTGTCATTACCTCATCACATTCTGGATAGATATTAGATTAGTGTATTAACTACAGCACTCTTCTAGTATCAGTCACACGCACCGTCTCTTATCCATACCGGTCGTTTATTCAAACTCCGATTCTAATATCAAAAACATTTTTAACATTGTTACAGTCCAAGTGTTCATAGACCATAATGTAGCATACTTGCACAGATACCGAGAAAAGTAAAGAAGCACTTATCTACTATTTCTGTGTGAGCATTCATAGCTATGCATTTTCACGATGTAAAAATCTGAACAGTTTCCGGCTAGACAACTGATGATAACTAACATCTAACATGTTTAAGTTTGTTATAATTAACTAATTTTAAAAACTTAACTGACACTCAGTACATCACTACAATAACAAGTGATAACACAATCTACTTATTTAGCTAAAATAAACGTACTTTATTTATACTCATCGTTAGAAAATATTGTGTCTACTGTTTCGTAGTACTAGTATTAACAATATACTTTCTTTCGTAGTGTCATATTCGTAGTTTGTCTATGTTCCTTTTAGTTGTCACATGAACGTTTGTTACATCAATCACTATCAGCAGCTACGTCTCCGTTAACCATGGTAGGATATACTTCAGCATGCAAAGTTTTCATTCTCTAAGCCAGTCTCGATTCTAGTCCAAATCTGTTGAAAATCTTGAATATCGTCGACGTCCATTATCATCATCGACGAATCGATATATGAATGGCAATGATAGAAATGCTAAAAGTAGAGACTCCAGTCCGAATGTAAATATTTGTTTCTATACGTCGATCATTATATTATAAAGTCTGATATATATATATGTTTCTAGGATATTTTCAAACCAAATGAACGTATACTAAGACCAAAATCACTTCATATTGAGAGAGTATGTAATACTGAAATAAATTCAATCCAAATTCTGTTGATGGTCTTTTCATTTATCCTAGTATGAAAATGAATCGAATCATTATTCAACAAGACAAGACGATCGAGAAAATTATCCGCCATCGTCACACCATTATCCTCAAACTTCCATTTCAACGCCATCGCCTGCCGCATTATCACGAACAAATTCATCGTCACAATTAAGAAAAGCAAAAAGCCTAAGTAATGTTGGACCGAGTAGTTCACAAACATCACCAAAAATACGAAATAAAAATGTAAGTTAAAAAATATTCTAAATATGCTGAGTAAAAATACATGACATGCACGTTTTAAAGCTGGTACATATTCAAAAATCATATACAAATTTATCATCAACAGATGGTGAAATCATTGACGATTTCTTAAAGGTAAGAGTATAACTGAAAAAATATGATACTATCCATGATTAAACTTTTATTTCTAGGATTATGGTGAAGCATATCCAATAACCATCCATAAAATTCGTCCAACATTAGGTGTTGCCATTGAAGGAGGATTAAATGATAGAATACCAATACCGAGAGTTGTCTACTTACAGGTATTTATAAAATAAATCTGTATATGTCTAGCTTTTTGTATAACAAATGTTACAGTCAGTTGAATGAATATGTTGGTTTTTAATTATAAAATTAATTATCATTTGTGTTTTAGCCTGATGGTTCCGCTTATTTATCATCGGGTTTACGTGTTGGTCATCTAATTTTGGGTTTAAATGGTTATTCAATGAAAGGTTTATTACATCGTGAAGCGGCTATGTTTATTGCCAGTGCATTCAAAGATCATTCAACATCAAAAATGGATTTAATGGTTTCAGAACCAAATCAATAAGTTTTTCTCTATACTTTTTTTGCTCTCTATCTCAGGTTTATTCGCTATTACTAATTCGTATGTGAATGTATATGTACGTGTATATTCATTTATTTTTTGTGTTTTGTTTCATATTTATCTATATTTCGCAGGCATAAATATTTGTCGGGTTGCAAAAAATTCAATAGCTGGATAATATACGAACATAAAAAGACTCCAGAATTGTCTCATTTCTGTTTGCGATTACTACATTCATTCTTTCTCTTAAGAGATTTTCGAAATAGTTTTTACAGATTAATAAATCGAGTATTTAATTATATGTATTTAATTTTAAATTAAATTGTTTAACTTTTTCGAGCTCGAAACGAATACTTTGTTACTGTTATTGTCTATTATTCAAACTTGTTTTTCGAGTTCGTTTTAAGTTTAATAATTTTTGTTTTTCTTCTTTTGAATGAAAAAACTAACAGTGTCATATTTTCCACCTACTATTTCTGCGTGTGTTTATGAGAACAGTGTTGTATGTGAATTCTGTTTTGCTGTATATGTACATAATTAAATAGCTTTAAAACCGAAATGAACAATTGAGTGGGTTTTGTCGTTTGTGTGTGATTATGCTTATATGTTTTTTTTTTAGTATGTAGTAGTTATAATTCAATTATTTAACTCTTCAACTGATATTCAGTAGATGAATTCTATACATAAACGGTTGTTTTTTCTTTTCAAATAGTAACCAATTTAAATTTAAAAAAAAATGAACAAAATTAAATATATCGTGTCTATTGGTCAACATTTTCATTCATATAAAACTCTTTTTCTTAATGATTTATTAGACATTTTTTATTGCTCTTAGATTTTTAAAATTATCGAAAGGAAAAAGTTTATCTAGCAGGTGAAAAGTTAATAATAATCTTCACTAATGGTCCTATTTTTAGATTAGAAATTGATATGTACCAAATAACCAGTATTTTATAGAAGAAAAAATGGATGGTTAATGATAATGATGTTTTGATAATAAAATGATTTGAATATCAGATGCAAGGTAATGGTATGTCTACTAGAATTTCTCCTTTTAAGAAATCTTCTAATGCATCTATGAATAATCGATCAAAGTGCATATGAACTGTCAGCTTATTGAACGATTATATTTGATAGAATTCTGTCCTTTAAGTTGTATTGTATCGCTCTATTCAGTTGTTTTCTCGAATTTTGACGCAAACTGTCTTCGCCTAGGATTATAAAATAAATTAATAACTTTAGAATTTTTATTGAAAAATTGAGAGTTTGACCTTCTTAACTTATTTGGCGCCCATCATAGACACAATATTGAGGGAGGCGGCTTAGAGAAATAGTGAAAATGTAACTCATAGAAAATAACTCAGAATGAGTTGAATCAGTTTTCGATGCGACTCAAATTTGAAAAAGTAGTCATTTGTCCATCTGTGAAAAATCTTATTTTAATCATGTGCTATGGAATATAAAACTATTTAAATGTGAACCAAGTGAATAGGAAAATTGAAGTGACTACATAAAACACTTGAAATTTGAACAGTGCAAACGTAAATTTTTCTTTTCCTCATATGATATTGTCCAAGAAACGTGTACTCGATTGTTTGACCAAATATAATATGTTCAATTTTTGCCATCTAATTCATTATCCACAATTTATAGAGTTTTGTATTTAATCTTAAACTCTGTTTACAGCAGATATTATTTATGTTTTTTAGATAATCGATTGTCCACCATTAAATACTTAATTTTTGAACCGAAGTCGTTCAAAAAATGTATTGTATGATATATTGTATGATTGTATAATCTTAATTCAAGATTCAATGAACTGATTGATATATCTCATATTCGTATCAAATAAAGAAAAATTACAAATGAAGAATAAGATTGTAATATGTAATATTGTAGAGTCATTTTGATAGTTTATGATTATTGTTATAGAGAAATGTCGATTTTTATTACTATTATTATTTAATTAGTCTAAAAATGATCATACGGTTAGAAAATTCACTCTATTACAAACGATCTTTGAATGTCTGAATAATTATTCCAATTAATTTTTAGTTTAACAATATTAAACTCATTCTCATTATTATGGACTGTGTTTTGGTAAAGATTTATAACTTCAAGCATTAGATATTGGCATTCGTATCTTTGAATTGGCTTATACGAGTTTTTTTAAGATTGTTTGAAGTACAATTTATTGTTCTAGATGGATGATGGGATTTATCAGGCGCATGACAAAGACTTTTTGTAATTTTCATAATAGCATTGCCGAATTTTAGTTTTGCTTTTTTGTTCGTGTTGCTTTTATTTTATCTAGAGATAAAAATAATACTTGAATTTGCACTAAAAATTTTTAGTGAAAAATGTCATTTATTTTGATTTATTCTATGGACGATATTTACTAAGTATGTTTGAATAGGAAAAATGAAGATTTTTTGCTAAAATTTACGTTTAAAAAAACGAAAAAAGAGCACTTTGTGTAATTAAAGAATGTAATATACCATCGAATAATGAAATGTTTGTTTACTTTGAACAATGATCTTTATTTCGTTACTTCGTTTTATAGCATTTTGTTTTAAGTTGAGTGTCGATGTTTCACAAACTGTATTTATTACAGATAAAATGTCTTTAACGAAGAAATGTAAAATAGACAAAACAGAGATGAATGGTGATGGCGACGGTGATAATCATACTAGTAAACGTTCTGAGTCAACGGTTGGTTTAGACTTTCATCCGTTAACCGAACCCGCTAGACAATTGAATGATAAAATCGCTAATCTTACATCCGATGATTGTATTGCATATCCATTGGGAAAGCTGGACGAATGGAAATATGAAAGTTATCGTGTAATTGGTAAGATAATCATCGATTACTTTGTTGATACATTTTTTTTTTTAATATTCTGTTTAAATTATTATTTTTAGATGAACTATACGAAATGAAACGTCAAGAAATGGAAATAATTGTTAATAAAAATTTTGTTAAACATAAAACGGATCAATTAAAATTGATTAATGATTTAAGAAAAGAAATTCGTAAACAACATCTGGCACAAGTTGAACATCAAGATGAAATATTAAAACAACGAATGACACGTATTGAACAAGATTTAACTCATTTTCAAGAAACTTTTATTCAAATCGAAACAAAACCATTAGAAGTTGATTCTGATTATATTCATGTTCGAACGGATTATATCAAATATTTTAATGGTGGTTCACTATTATCTAATGAGCAAGAATTAAAATTGAATGAATTTTATGGTGGAGGTAATGCAAATGAACAACAATGGGAATTATTGTATAAAGCTAGTCGAAATGGATTTTGTGCCGAAGATTTTCATCGTCTATGTGATGGTAAAGGTGCAACAATGACCATTATTCAATCAAACGATGATCCTGGATATTTATTTGGAGGATATACCACTGTATCATGGAGTTCAACGTGTAGTTGGCAACCAGATCCACAAGCTTTCTTATTTACTCTTACGAATCCTCATAATATTCCACCAACAAAATACCATGTTAAAGAAAAATCAATGCAGTTTGCTGTTTATCATGATGCGACAGTTGGTCCATCGTAAGTTATTCATTTTATCATTTTTGAGATGTAAAAAGTTGATATATTACTTGTATCACTATTTTTCGTCCATCATTTTGTTCCATTAATAATTTTTTTGATTATTTTTAGATTTGGCGGTGATATTTGTGTTAAAAATAATAGTAATGCTTTTGTACGTTTTCCTGTTACATACTTGGATACAACACATCACGGTGATAAAACATTTACGGGTAACAAACATTTAACAATGTCCGATATTGAAATTTATACATTAGGTTAATGTAATGAAAAATGATGACTTAAATGATGTCAGATACAACTTGTATAATCAGCACTTTTGTAATTGTACATGTTTAATCAGATATTGTGTTCGTCAAAACATTGTACAATATTTTTCTGTGTTCGAAGCTTATTTTTACTTTTCTGTGCGTTTTTTTTTTGGTAATAAACCAACAGGTTTTGTATAGTTGATAATTTTTCATGCACCATTGGTGCTCTTTTTATATTGTTTTTTTTCTTTTTTGTTATTGTAGAAGAGATCAACGTTGTAATTTTTTTTGTTTCTCTCATTGTTTTACTAACCACAAATTTTGTTTTCTTTATCTGCTAATTAATAGTCGATGTTTTTGTGCTCGAAATAATTTCATGAATTTTTTTTGTTTTCCTATTCTGTCCTGTATAGGAGTAGTTTTCATGTACATCTGTGTAATAAATAGTCAGACTATTCACGATGTCAACAACTCATTTGTATTTATTTAGTTTGTGATACAATTGTCTATTTCAAAATATAGTTACTCTTTTTTATATATTTAATAGCACAGAAGAAACTGTTTTCTAAACGATGAATTTTTAATCGAATTTCTGAAAAATTTCGTTGATAAACTCAACTTTCGGCTTTCTCAGAGATTCTGATTGTTTTTAGACCATGGGTGCGTGATGGTGCAAAAACAGAATGATTTTATCTGAGGTTGCTTCACTTTTTGTTCCGTTTATTAAGATGACAGTAAAGTACAAATAAAAACGGAATATTAACACAGGCAAGTTGACATAAAAAATAGTTTTTTATGCCACCGCTACATTTTTCACAACGGAGCCAAGACAAAAAATTTTACGGAAACTCAGAAAGTCTAGCGAGGGGATGCCCCCTCTCCTCCGATCGGAATTGTTGGTCTTTCTTTCTGTTAATCAAACTTGAAAGACACTGTTTCTATAGGGGAGGCATGTCCTGAAATGGTCAGGTTTTTACCTAGTTTCTAAAAACATTTTTTCTTACAAAAAAACATTACCACTAGACTCGCCATGGTCTATTCCATATGTTCCATCTGTTTTTAACATTACCACAAGCCACCGGATACCCATTCAGAGATTCTTGAGAAATCCGATAGATCTCGCCTACAATAGATTGTCCCATATTCATTTTTTTAAGCATTTTCAATTTCAACTGTCGGCATGAAAAGATTTTTAAAATAAAAAGCCGTTTTTTTATATAGGATTTTTAGTATTTTTCGAATATTTCAAGAAGGAAAGCGTAGTTTTCGAAAAAAACAATTTAGAACCTGAGATAGGACCTAAAGTATCTGTGATAAAAATTTGAGCTCGATCGGATCATTTTTTCGAGGGGTCGTAATGTGACTGGATGAAAACTGAAGTTTTTCAGAAAACCCATAGAAGAACATGTAAGAAAAATATATCGATTTTCTTTTTCGATGTTCTATCTCTCATATAAATTCGAGCTCAATCGGAAGTGTACTCTACATTTGGCAACAAGGTGAAAAAAAGAGGAGGAAGGTACCCTTAACGATAGACGATAGGATATGAATAGATGATAGATAGAGAATCTCTTAGAAGATGAGAATATATAGTAGACTTTTAAAAACTGATCTCTCGATTTCTTCGTCTTATCCAACAAGAGTATAGCTAGTTAAAAAATGACGATCGATAGATGAGATTTCTTCAAAAACTATTACCTGATTCTGAGTCAAACAATATGTTAAATGCTAAGAATGAATATTTTCTTCAGCATTGACTCTCATCTAACTTGCGAGACATTTTAAATAATTGCGGAACATTCTCTTTAATTCTCAACAGATTTATTGTTAAAGAGTTGTCATACTTTTTTCAATTTCAATGAAAGAACAGTAATATTATAATAGTTAACATTTATTTGATTGATTTCACGAACAATTGCTTATATTAACAAATTTACACAATATTAAATGTACGAATATTATTACCATTGTAAACATCATCGTTTGAATATTTTGATTTAAAATTGAATACTAACACTGGCAGTAAATATGATAGTCATATTGTCAATAATTATTTCCAAATTCATAAGTGCAATATCACCAATTTCTCTTCAAGTTATAGGAATAAAAAAACGAGGAAAATTATTCAACATTTATATGTGATTTTAAATTTTTAATATTTTATAGTAAAAGTTTATAAAACTAGATACCGTAAGAAAAATATCTCATACAACTCGGTGTTTATACTCAACAAAAATATCGTTCGATACTCTCGTCATAGTCATCATTATCATTTTTGTTCTGTAATACGGTTGAATAAATCTATTTTCATTAGAAAGAAAAAAATGTTATTTTTATATTTTTCATTTCTCTTTGTGTGAATTTGGCTTTACCCATTGATGGTGTACGCCAAACAGAAAAGTTGAATCACTAGTACACGTACATATTTAAAAATTCAACAAATGACAACTGTATACAAACATGACGACAAAATATTGACCTATTTCAACGTACTCATATTCAAATCAAACTGTGAATTGCTTGTCAGAAAAATATTTTATAAACTACAGAAAGTTTTTTATTCTATTTAAAATTTACTTCTATTTTTAGATTATATCGAACATATCGTCGTTTAAATTTGAAATAGAAAGTTCTATCAGTGTGATCGGAATATATATGGCTATATATTAATCAAAACCGTTTTATCTGTTGAATGGTGATCATTTTATGAAAATTTTAACATCAATTTGAATTCTTGAGAGATCATGAGAAATGATTTAATATTGGTTGTGTAATTAATTAAATTTATCATTAAAATACATAATCTATGAGAAACAAACTGTTGCAGAATAAACGATCAGATCAAAATTTAACAGTGAAGTTACAATTTTAACGATTCTTTAGTAAACAATGATGAAAAAAGTGAATTTAAAACAAATTTTTGATAATTTTAATCAATAAAACTAATGTTTATAGAGTGATTCGCGATGCATTCGATGCTCAAAATTATTACGAAAAAGGATCAATATTAACGATATTAAGTACAAGAAACCGCAGTTATCTATCCAGAAAGTATGTGAAAATTTCTAAATATTCGAAAACCGATGCGCAAACATTTATCTTCATTTTAACGAATTTTCCACATAATATTTCCCAATCAAAATATGATACCAAACACGATAAGATTCAACATACTATTTGTCATAGTGGTACTATAATGATAGTTTTGACCAGTAGTTTTTGATATTTTTTGTGACAATAAAATTTTATAGCATTTTAAAACTGAAGTCTTTGAATAGACAGCTGTTCGACATATTGTATTTACTAATCACAATATTGTTAGAAGTTTTGCTATTCATATTTTTCTGATGACTTTTATGTGTTGGTGGATAAATGAACACTATTCAAAATTATGTAAAAATGGTTACTTCTCATAATATCTGTTGTTTACGCACTATTTGTCTAGTCAGTGGTTGATTAGATGGTTGAATATTACTATTATTTTTGTATATCTCGCAGGAGAAATTAAAATGTAGGATAATTTAAAATTTTTCTAAAAAACTTTCTCTTAGACGAAATTGAAACTTTAACTTTTCCTTAGGGGAAAACAAAATGTGAACGTTAATATTTTAATTATTTCTATAGGAAAAATTGCAATTTCTTTTGATATTAGACTGACTAGACACAGAGAAAGAAGGAAACAAAAGTCATCCACACATAACTAAATATTGTTTTCATCGGTTAAGTCGATTATTTTTTTGTCACGATGAAACGTTTCTATACTTTACTCGATAACCATATTGAATCTTTAAATCACAAGTTTCGAGACAAGTTTTCGATAAACCAGCCGATGTATGATATAATTTTGATTCATCGAGATGGTTGAGGAAATGCTCAATTTAAGTTTTCGGTGCACAAAAATTTCAAGCTCGTTAAAGCTGATGATCTTAACGTCGTATATGATATTAAAAGAAGTCATCCAGTTGTCATGTATTAAAATCTGTACATCAGAATCGAAGAAAGCCGTGAACGAGCCGGCCATCATGGAAGAGACAAAACATGGCTCGCAGTATGAGAAAAACATATTTATAATTAGGGTCAAGATAAACTTGTTTTTTAGGTGAAAGATCAATATTCATCTGTACCACGCGCTATAGTGTAATTTCACAGTGTGATGCGTGTAGTAACAGAAAACTATTCCCAAAGCCAGCAGCGGGTATGTCAGAGTGTATGAGCAAATCGGTTGTTTCTGTATGTGTAGATTTTAATACATGACAACTGGATGACTTCTTTTAATATCATATACGACGTTAAGATCATCAGCTTTAACGAGCTTGAAATTTTTGTGCACCAAAAACTTAAATTGAGCATTTCCTCAACCATCTCGATGAATCAAAATTATATCATACATCGGCTGGTTTATCGAAAACTTGTCTCGAAACTTGTGATTTAAAGATTCAATATGGTTATCGAGTAAAGTATAGAAACGTTTCATCGTGACAAAAAAATAATCGACTTAACCGATGAAAACAATATTTAGTTATGTGTGGATGACTTTTGTTTCCTTCTTTCTCTGTGTCTAGTCAGTCTAATATCAAAAGAAATTGCAATTTTTCCTATAGAAATAATTAAAATATTAACGTTCACATTTTGTTTTCCCCTAAGGAAAAGTTAAAATTTCAATTTCGTCTAAGAGAAAGTTTTTTAGAAAAATTTTAAATTATCCTACATTTTAATTTCTTCTGCGACATATACACAAAATGTGTTGCTATCAAGACGAAACGTTTCTCCATTAATAATATTATTTATTTTAGACGCTCTATGACATAATTTTGATGTCTTCCAATATTTTTCTTTTATTTTTATTGCATTTATTTATTCATATCATTCTAATACTCGTATCGTCTTACCATTGGTGTTTATTGTTAATTAACATTGGGTTTTATATACTTTACTTATACAAAATCTATTATTCGTCAACAACTTTATGGTTCTTCTCGACTTATTTATCATTTGTAGTATTCACGAATCT